CATACTCTGGGAGAACCTCCAAGAATGTCACTCTGGCTGAGGGCTGCTTCAGGGAAGAAACCTTACAACTGGAGTGATTGCGAAGGGTTTCTACAGAGCGGAATCCCAACAACTGATTTCACTGGGAAGGTTTTATTCTGAGACGAAGACCAGAGTTGTAATCTTGATGTGTATTCATGGTGTGGGGTCCATGGTACGGACTCATGGTGTGAGTCCATGGTAGAGACTCATGGTGTGGACTCATGGTGTGAGTTAATGGTAGGGACTCATGGTGTGGGTCCATGGTACGGACTCATGATGTAGGTCCTTGGTGTGGGTTTATGGTGTGGGTTCATAGTATGTGTCCGTGTTATGGGTTCTTTTAGATAAAGAATAGAGTTCATTCATGGGATCACAGTGATGGTTCCCAAATGAACCTTATTTTTGAGTGATTGTCAGAAAAGAAACCTTGGATCAGGGTTCAGAGTGAGGCTTCGTTCAGAGGGAAACCCCCTGACTTGTAGTTACCTTCAGAGGGGTAAACCCCTAACTTACTATCACACAATAGTCATACAACATCCACACAGCACTCACACAATCACAATTATTCACACCACAATCACATAATTACATCACACAATCACAATAACTCACCCCACAATCACAATAACACCCCACAATCACTTTAATCACTCACATCACACAATCACAATAACTCACTCCACAGTCACCTTAATCACTCACATCACACAATCACAATAGCTCACCCCACAATCACCTTAATCACTCACATCACACAATCACAATAACTCACCCCACAATCACCTTAATCACTCACATCACACAATCACTAACTCGCCCCACAATCGCATGATCACTCACACATCACACAATAACTCACCCCACAATCACATAATCACTCACACATCACACAATAACTCACCCCACAATCACATAATCACTCACACATCACACAATCACAATAACCCACCCCACAATCACATAATTACTCAGACAAGGTGGACAGAGACAGGATGTTCCAGAGATGGGATACAGAAACAAGGGGTCACAGTTGGAAGCTGGAGACTCAGACGAGTCACAGGGATGTTAGGAAGTATTTCTTCAGTCAGAGTCGTCAGGAAGTGGAATAATCTGGGAAGTGATGTAGTGGAGGCAGGAGCCATACATAGCTTTAAGACGAGGTATGACAAAGCTCAGGAAGCAGAGAGAGAGAGAGAGAGAGAGAGAGAGAGAGAGAGAGAGAGAGAGAGAGAGGACCTAGTAGTGATCAGTGAAGAGGCGGGGCCAGGAGCCGAGTCTCGACCCCTGCAACCATAGTTAGGTGAGTACATCACAATCACAACAACGATCACACAATCAAAGATTCAAACAACACACAATCACTCGCACATCACACACTCATAATAATCAGGCAATCACTCACAACAGTCACATGATTACTTGCACAATCACAAGTCACTCATGCAATCACACAAGTCACACAATTACAGTAATCGCAGTTACTCGCACAACAACCATTTACACGTACAATCAAACAACACTCTCACAACAATCACATAATCAACAGTTACGCACTCGTGCAACAATCCCTCACATATTCACTTAACACAGTAATCACACAGTCACTCGCACAATAATCACAATTAACAAAATCACTCGCACAACAACAACAGTAATCACACAGTTATCCGCATAATCACAAAGCTCAATCACTCTCATAACAATCACAACACAGTCACACAACACTCAGTTATTTTCATAATCACACAACACTCACAATCACACAACGCTCACAATCATACAATCACATAGTTACACAGCGCTCACAATCCCTCGTACAACAATCGCACAACGCTCACAATCCCTCGTACAACAATCACAGCACTAACAGTCAGTCACACAACGCTCACAATCCCTCGTACAACAATCACAGCTACTCTAACAATCACACCGCACTCAAAATCATACAATGCTTAGTCACACGTACAACACAGTTATTTGCTTTATAATCACGCAACAGTCACACAACATTCAGTCATTCACACATTATTTCGTGAGATCTCTAGACTTGTGTATAACGCAAGTATTGCGCGCGCGCGCGCACACACACACACACACACACACACACACACACACACACACACACACACACACACACACACACACACACACACACACACACACATACACACATACACACACACACACATCAACAAAGATCTTCAACACATCATTTGAAACTGGGCAACTCCCTGAGGTATGGAAGATGGCAAATGTAGTCCCAATTTTTAAAAAGTGAGACAGACAGGAGGCACTAAACTACAGACCTGTATCACTAACGTGTATAGTATGCAAGGTCATGGAGAAGATTATCAGGAGGAGAGTGGTGGAGCACCTGGAAAGAAACAAGTGTATAATTGACAACCAGCACGGTTTCAGGGAAGGAAAATCCTGTGTCACAAACCTACTAGAGTTTTATGACAAGGTGACAGAAGTAAGACAAGAGAGAGAGGGGTGGATCGACTGCATTTTTTTGGACTGCAAGAAGGCCTTCGACACAGTTCCTCACAAGAGGTTACTACAAAAGCTAGAGGATCAGGCACACATAACAGGAAAGGCACTGCAATGGATCAGAGAATACCTGACAGGGAGGCAACAACGAGTCATGGTACGTGACGAGGTGTCAGAGTGGGCGCCTGTGACAAGCGGGGTTCCACAGGGGTCAGTCCTAGGACCTGTGCTGTTCTTGGTATATGTGAACGACATAACGGAAGGGATAGACTCAGAAGTGTCCTTGTTTGCAGATGATGTGAAGTTAATGAGAAGAATCAAATCGGATGAGGATCAGGCAGGACTACAAAGAGACCTGGACAGGCTACAAGCCTGGTCCAGCAACTGGCTCCTTGAGTTTAACCCTGCCAAATGCAAAGTCATGAAGATTGGGGAAGGGCAAAGAAGACCGCAGACACAATATAGTTTAGATGGCCAAAGACTGCAAACCTCACTCAAGGAAAAAGATCTGGGGGTGAGTATAACACCGAGCATATCTCCTGAGGCGCACATCAATCAGATAACTGCTGCAGCATGCAGGCGCCTGGCAAACCTACGGATAGCGTTCCGATACCTCAGTAAGGATTCGTTCAAGACTCTGTATACCATTAACGTCAGGCCCATACTGGAGTATGCAGCACCAGTTTGGAATCCACACCTAGTCAAGCACGTCAAGAAATTAGAGAAAGTGCAAAGGTTTGCAACAAAACTAGTCCTAGAGCTACGGGGATTGTCCTACAAAGAAAGGTTGAGGGAAATCGGCCTGACGACACTGGAGGACAGGAGGGTTAGGGGAGACATGATAACGACATATAAAATACTGCGCGGAATAGACAAGGTGGACAAAGACGGGATGTTCCAGAGAAGGGACACAGACACAAGAGGTCACAATTGGAAGTTGAAGACTCAGATGAATCAAAGGGATGTTAGGAAGTATTTCTTCAGCCATAGAGTGGTCAGGCCGTGTAATAGCCTAGAAAATGACGTAGTGGAGGCGGGAACCATGCATAGTTTTAAGGCGAGGTATGATAAAGCTCATAGGGCAGGGAGAGAGAGGACCTAGTAGCAATCAGCGAAGAGGCGGGGCCAGGAGCTATGAATCGACCCCTGCAACCACAAATAGGTGAGTACAAATAGGCGAGTACACACACACACACACACACACACACACACACACACACACACACACACACACACACACACACACACACACACACACAGTCACCAGCATAATAAAGAGAGATAGATGGTGAAGTGAATATATATATTGAGGAAGCAATTGATGACCAGACGGCACGTTCACAATGTACGATCACCTCCAGCCTGGTTTCATTTACACTGCCTCCAAACTCACCCATCTCTCTCTCTCTCTCTCTCTCTCTCTCTCTCTCTCTCACACACACACACACACACACACACACACACACACACACACAGTGCAGAGCACCACAGGCTCGTCGAGGTTAGACATTGATGGATAACGCAAGAAATCCAGCACCTCGTGTAGGAACAGAGCTTGCTGCCAGGCACTCAGCACCACCCCTTTCCTCTCCTGGGTGTCCGTGGATCGCACACTAGGCACCGCTGTTATCCTGGATCAAAGAGTAACTAGCGACAAAGCCACAGAGAGGCATTAAAGTGAGTATGTGTCACAAGGAAGGAGTTCCACAAGGGTGCATGCTGGGAGCGGTATTGTTGTTGGTGGATGTGAACGACGTGTCCAAAGAAGAGGTCGATACATCCCAGTTCATTGAAGTGAAATTGATGGGAATAACAAGCGGAAAGGAGTATATAAACACACAATTTAACACTGACAAACTTTAGGATATCATCCGACAAATGTTGAGTGGAATTCAGTACAAGCCAGTGGAAGATTCTGAGATTTGAGGCGCGCATCAACACAATAACCACTATGATAAATGCTTCTCTGGGGAATCTGACATTATTCTCAGTTGAAGTGCCTTGATGCCGGTGAGAGGATCCTGATCCAAGGAACTCCACTTACCTTCCATTTCTTTGGATCGAACCTGATTGATTTTCATTCCCTAGACGCTATATGACCCCTACAAGTTTAGCGCTTAACGTCCTCCCTCCCCTCCTAATGAAAATAAAATTGAAATAAGATTAGCTTTCAGGACTCGCAGTGACGCCATAAATATGTCCCAGTATTTTGTCATGTGTTTTAAACCAATGTTCCGTATTAATTACCAAGCTTTATAATACCAGGTAACTGATGACAGACGCTATGTAAGACAGTGATCACACTGTTTAAGATTAAACTATGTAAGACAGTGGCTACATTGTATAAGATTACACTATATAAGACAGTGACTACAGTATATAATATTACACTATATAAGACAGTAACTAAACTATATACAACACTACACTATTAACAAGAGTGACTAGAAAAGTCTGTAGCAATAATTTTGATGTTGGTGTGTGTACAGTTCCTCCTGAGAGTGTGAGTGTGATGATGGGAGGGAAGGACGCTCCCCGCGGTGCCTCCAGCAGCGTAGTGGGTCCATACATGGAGGGCGACACCCCAGCCATCACCTGTGTTGCTCATGCTGGTAAGTTACACCACCTGTGTTGCTCATGCTGGTAAGTTACACCACCTGTGTTGCTCATGCTGGTAAGTTACACCACCTGTGTTGTTCATGCTGGTAAGTTATACCACCTGTGTTGTTTATGCTGATAAGTTACACCACCTGTGTTGTTCATACTGGTTACACCACATGGGTTGTTCATGCTGGTAAATTACACCACCTGTGTTGTTCATGCTGGTAAATTACACCACCTGTGTTGTTCATACTGGTTACACCACATGGGTTGTTCATGCTGGTAAATTACACCACCTGTGTTGTTCATGCTGGTAAATTACACCACCTGTGTTGTTCATGCTGGTAAGTTATACCACCTGTGTTGTTCATGCTGGTAAGTTACACCTTTTACCATCGCCACCTGTAATATTGAGAGTACCAGCTGGTACTGTGGCTGATGATTATACTAATTTTAGTTATGATTATGCTGATGCTAATGATTGTGGTTATGGGGTAGTGATTGTTGTCATGGGGAGGATAATGTTACTACTACTAATAATAATTATTTAGAAGTTATAAGTTGACTTGTGTGAATGTGTGAGGATGTAGTAAGAATGTGTGATTTTTTTTTGTTATATATTTTTCTACAAATGTTGGTAATGTTAGGATTTTGTGTTGTATGGTATGTTATGGTGGCAGGGACACCTCTGTTATGGTGGTGCAGCTATCACCATGACCATGCTCTCGGCTTTTATAACCATTGTAATATCTTTACTTGCGTTATATTGTATGTATAGATTTGTCAATACTGACGGGTGTTGAGAAATGTTCTTTCAGGTGATCAGCACGCCAAAGTTGCATAACTTTGCTTGCAGCATGCAGTGGCAAGCATTGTCTTGACTGCAGGCGACTCTCCCTCCACACGCGCTCTGAGACTCATTTTTTTCTTGTCTCTTGCCCACCACTAACTCCTGCACTTTTCTCCCTCACCACTGTTGCACATTTCCCCTTTCCCACATCCCTCCCTGCAGAGCTGTATCACCCCTCGGGTTTAACGCAGTTCATTGTATCCATTAAACACACACACACACACACACACACACACTCATACAATCATATTCCATACACGATACCTCATTGTGTGCTGTGTGATGACACACCGTAAGGAGGCGGCATTTTAATAAATAACAGTTGGTCCCAAAGATGAGGGGGTACTTGTACCTCCTCCCATGGGAGACTTAGGTCTCGAGATACTCCCCAGACAGGGAGCCAAGGCCGGGTCACCATTATTGGAAAATACCCGGGCCGGGAGAGTACCGGCGAATAAAAAAAAATCATTCGTCCCAGGCACCAAACATCGTAGCTACGCAGTTGCATTACAATAAAATCTCTCATTAACGATCTAATAAGAGGAGAGAGAGTACAATAATGAAGACATTTTATTGAGAGTTTTGTAACGTGTAGTACTACGGTAGCCTTTACCACTTTGACCGGGAAGGGTTGCTGCTCCGATCTGTTGCTCAGAATCTCCGTTAAGCATTGACCAGTGTATACACAATGTCCAGCGTGGACGTAGATCGTGTGCCAGCAGTATCCGCAGGAGTATTCCTTTGTGGGAATTAGACTGGTGAGATATTTTTGTCTTTATAAAATCAGTCCTGTGGTGCGCCTGGACTAATTTTCACATATAGGTAAATTAACTTAAAGTATGGGTCTGGTTGGTGGACTTAATAACGTGTATTTATTGAAATTTATTATGGATTGTGGAAATATTGTTTCTCACACTATATTGTAACACCGATGACTATGTTACACAGATTCACCTTTTCGCAAAATGGATTTCTATCCAAAAGAAACTGCAGGAGACAAGTTGTATCCTTGTTGTGTGTCTTGTACTTTTTTTTCACTTGTCAGATAGTGTCCATTACCTCCTGCATAACACCATTAAGATCAGCACATGCTGATATACACAGAACTGTTGTGTCTGCTGGGTCTACAACATTCCCCAACCTTGTGTTAGTTCTCCAGTCATTTTCATGGTTCCCTTTAGCACTTGTTCGATTTCCGATGTTGTTGATAACCCATCCCAGCCCAGTGTCTGTCACTTGGTCGAGTAACATAGTGATCCACTATGGAAGAAGGCAAACACACTTGGATTCTGGTTCCCCACTTGGAATGTCTGTCGCAGCTGCATTTACATAGATTTTTGCATGCAAACTGTGCTCAGTAACTAGTAAATACAGCAGTTTGTTTGTTTGTTTTTTTGAAGAGAATATGGCTTTCCCAATTTCCCGTTCTTCATAATTTTATCAAGTAGCGATGAACATCAATCACTTCCTTCATTTCCTCCACACACCTCCAGTACGAGGACCATATACTGCAGTCTTTCCTTCACTATCTGCTGGAACTTCACCAGCCATCATTTTGTCGTATAATCTTACTGCTATGATCAAGCCTTCGCTGATGTCTTCTCTCGAAAATGGAACGATTTCTGTGTTTTAATTTAGGTCAGAGTCCAAAATGGTTAAGTTGAATTCTCATGGTACAATCATTGTATTCAAAGCAGTATTGACAACAAAAAAGTCCTATAATTATTTTTCCCACAGTTAAAGATCACTAATGGTTACCTATTCATCAAAACTTTGTCAAAAAGTGAGCCGCTCTCCTCATTGTTTCCTCAGTGGGTAGAGCAGGTATGTTTTAACATGGTTTGTGGGTAGACCAGGTTAGGTTTTAGCATGGATTGTGGGTAGACCAGGTTATGTTTTAGCATGGTTTGTGGGTAGACCAGGTTATGTTTTAGCATGGTTTGTGGGTAGACCAGGTTTGTTTTAACATGGTTTGTGGGTAGACCAGGTTATGTTTTAGCATGGTTTGTGGGTAGACCAGGTTTATGTTTTAGCATGTTTTGTGGATAGACCAGGTTTGTTTTAGTATGGTTTGTGGACTGCAAACCGCCCTTCTTGCATGGAATATTGTCTCACATACTACATAGTATGTCATAATTAAATCTTGTACAAACACGACCCGGCTTTTACCTTATTGTTGCACAGACATTAACCGGTTGATTGAAAATCAGTAGGTTCTACAGTCCACAGTCACTTGAAAGTTTATTGAAGGTTCCTTGTGGACACACACATTACACAGTGTATTGTAGAGAATATTGTATAAAAAACACTGTCCGTATATATTGTTAGTTTCTGGAATTTGTTCTGAAACCGGACGTGTGTTATTCCTGGTCAGAGTGGTCAGGAGAGTGAAGTGTGTTTGGAGACAATACGTGGAGCAGCAGCTGCACCAAGATATGTTAAGACATCATGGTTTCGAGTTTGTAGGGATTTTTTTTGCAAGTTTTAACCACAGGCTATTTTATTGGTTTAAGTGCTCTCATGTTTACCTGTAAGGCCCTAGTATGCAGAGACCTGTCCAGACGTAGATCTACGTTCACTCGTATACTGAACGTAGATCTGTTTGATTTTACGTTCTTTTTTACGTAAAAAAAAAACGTAGATCTACGTTCGGAGGGCTACACAAGTAAACGTAGATCTACGTTTGAACAGTTTAAGGGTTAAGTTTTGGGAGAGTACTAGTACAGCGTGCAGAAAGGGAGGGGGGAGGAGAGGGTGTGTAATGGGCTTCCCTATGTATAAATGATAGTGTTTTACTCACTAGTAGCAGTGTGCTAGTGAGCTAAAGTGAGTACTGGGTAACTGTGTGGTATGTAGTAGAGGAGGTTGTATGTTGTATATGTAAGCTTACTATTAATATATATATATATATATATATATATATATATATATATATATATATATATATATATATATATAATGTCCTTATATAAATTTAATATTGTCTCCACATTTAATATGATGGTACAAGCTGGCCCTAGAGTGGTTTCTTTTTCTATTTTAAATAATATAAATACCCTTAGACTAGGCAGGTCGTTTACCCTTTATGAGCCAGGACTTTTAGTTACGTTATACAGTAAAAGTGTAACACTTCATTCAGGTCAAGTATGAAAATCAATACTCATTAAACCACACCAGTGAGTGAACACCAGAGGCGGGTTACATCTTCACAGGATGTTAGGCTTTTAAAACGTTTTCCTTTATTATTGCTTCACTTTTTCTCACTTTTATATGTACTGTGTTAGGTCTGACACAATCTCATTAAAAAGAATACAAATCGAGGAATAATGAAGGAAAATTTGAACATCATTGAGGAAATGGTAATAAATTCTTAATTTGTAATCTCTTAAAAATCATTTTCATCATAGTCACCTATATTCGTCTCTATTTTGTGTGTGTTTTGCATGACTCAGAGAATGTTGCCACAGATATCATTTCATCTGTAAATTGTTCCATGTCAGACCACAACCTAAATGAACTAAATAATATAAAATGTAAGAGATGTGTTTTTGTGTGTGGTTATGTTCACTGGATACACTGAGCTTCAACTCAGCCTGGCTACGCAGTCTGGCAGACAGAGACAGACTAAAATTAAGTATCTGCGGGTGAGGAGGGGAAAGGGGGCTACTCCTGGGACCTAGGAAAGATGTCTGTCATGTAATTCTGTGGGGTGATTAGCTGGTAAAACACTTCTCAACAACCCCCAGTACTACCGACACACACATACAGAAACACACACACAGACTCAGATGAGTCACAGGGTTGTTAGGAAGTATTTCTTCAGTCATAGGGTTGTCAGGAAGTTGAATAGTATGGAAAGTCAGGTAGTGGAGGCAGACACCATATATAGCTTTAAGAAGAAGAGATGATAAAGCTCATGGAGTAGGGAGTGGACCTAGTGGCGACCAGTGAAGAGGGGCCAGGAGCTGTGAATCGACCTCTGCAGCCACATTTAGGTGAAAACACACGCAAGGTAACGGAAAGTAAAACACGAGAGAGAGGGGTGGGTAGATTGCATTTTCTTGGACTGCAAGAAGACCTTCGACACAGTTCCTCACAAGAAGCTTGTGTAAAAGCTAGAGGATCAGGCACGCATAACAGGAAAGGCACTGCAATGGATCA